TAAGCCACATGGCATGTGCACTCGTGCCTGCGGTAGCTGGCTCTCCCCTTGGTGCAAGCAGCCTCAGGTTTAGGGTTTGAAGCGGTGGGAGCCGGAAGTCACTCTGCTTCCTCACTTCCACTCTGCACTGACGGAAACTCAAACGCTGAAGAGAGGTTCCGGCGCTGGCCTGGGCCGTGGCGGCACAATGGAGAACCCGACGGAGGACCGAGAGCTGGCCGGCTGCCCGACGCTGGCCTCTTCCTGGGATGCCACATGTGGGGCCCTAACCCAGAGCCTCCTTGTCACCCGGGCGGGTCTAGGTTTCGAAGACTCGGACTGGGAGGAGCTGCTGGCGACACCCGCTTCGCGCGCGGGGCGGGTGGGGACCGGATTTGCTGCTTTCGGTGACAGCCACGCTCCGGTGAGAGCCGGGAGGGAGGCGTGGGGTTAAATAGAGGACCTGAGCCGGGATCCGGGAGCGAAGCTGTTGCCGGGTCTGTGAGGGGGAGGAAGGGATGTGAGGCAGTGGCGAGCGAGCTCCTTCGAGGGGTAGAGCCGGGGTAGGGGCGGGTCTGGCCCGGCAGTGGCCGCAGCTGGGGGTGCGTGAGTCTGGGGCGCAGAGGTAAGGGGGAAGGTGACCTGGAAACTCGGAATGTCACAGACCTCTCGAGCAGTATGACAGCCCTTCGGGTCTCAGGACGATGAGTCTGCTGCACCCCCTTCTCTAAAGGAAACGAATACCTCTAGAAGACCAAAGTAGGGTTCGAAAAACCAATTGAGGACCACTGTCGGCAGACTTTTTAAGAAATAGAGCTTTGTCTTTTGCTGTGTGGTGCTGCCTAGTTCTATGTGCACAACAGGCGTCCAGTCAGTTTATTTAATTACTGAGAATCGATCACAGAGGATTGTGAGCACGTCCATGATCGAGGGAAAATTTCTGAAGCCGATTTCTGAAGCCTGCCTTTTCATATGAATTCTGTATTGAATTAGACGGTGTTTGGGAAGGAACTTGGACCTCAGGTGAAGCGAGTTAGCAGAGTACCCGTGATCTGAGTGCTTCATGGGAAGTGTTCAGAGACCCATAGTGTGTCATGTTTTGAATCATTTCCTTCTCAGTCAGGATCTGGTGATTTTGAAGAGAAGCCTGAACAGCCAAGATGAAAACCCCTGCTTTCTTTACCTGATGTGCGACCCTAAAGGAGGCGAAGAGATGACTGCCGTTGGCATTTTGAGTTCAGCAAGAAACATGGAAGTTTACTTAGGCGAGGAGTACTGTGGAACCAGTAGGGGCAAGAATGTGTGTACCGTCCTGGATAACAGGTTTGTGGCTTGCACATGTGAGAGTGTTCTTCTTCATCACTGTTCTTACTTTCCTCGGTGTCCTTTGGAGTGTTTATTGAGTATTTATTGATTTTCTGACATTGATATGAGAGCGAAGAGAAAATAAAAATCTAGTAGGCAGAGAAGACTTTAAAAAGTTTGTGAAAAATGGAATTAAAGTACAAATGTGGGTCTGGCAAGTGACGTGGTTAAAGGCGCTGGACTCCCAATGATCATGGTTCAAGTCTCAGACCTGGGGACTTGCTTTCTCACTCCCCCCCCCCCTTCATTGTGTCCCTCTCTGGTCAAATAAAAAGAATAAAATAAATAAATAAAGTTAAATAATTCTAAAAATTAAAAATAATAATAATTGAAGTTAATTCTTTTTTAAAAAATAAGTGTATTTTGATTTAAAAAATGCTGAAATTTATGTATAGCTTTATCAGAATATACATTTCCATGAACTTTTTGAAGATCTTACAAGGATGATTAGACCACTGAGTAATCTTAAAGGCAAGTTAAGTCAATTTTGTCATTTTTGTTTTAGGTTTTTACTGTTGGGCACCTGTACTTACTGGAGTGAGACAGCAGGAAAGAGAGATTACCCCCCAGAGGGGGTAGCCTCCACAGTTCCTTCTCTTCGATTTTCCTCTGGGGATCTTGGGTACACACGTACACACACACGTACACACATACATGCTTGGCGTGATTTTCCAGCTTCTAGGCCCAGCACTCAAATTGTGGAGTTGGTCACGTGGGAGTTCCATGCCTTAACCACCATGCCACCTGCTGGCTTCAGTTTTCTCATTTTTATGAATATGGGGATTTAGAGCTAATATAAGGATGATGACTTGTTAAAGAATCATCCTAGTCATTTAAAGTATACAGACTAAAGAACTCCTATTGCTGTTTCTTGGATCTCCATAAACTCACAATGCTCTGTTTTCCAAAAGTTAATTAGGCAATCTATCTGTAATTTCAAACACATTTTTTTGGTAAGGAAACAGATTACAAATTGTACACAAGCCAGACTGTGCCATATCCTCCTATTTAATTTGTAGTTCAGCCTGATATAGCTTAATATTTTCTAGTCTTTTATAGGAAGAAGCTACATGACTCTTTCCTTAATATAACTCAAAATAGTTTATATCTGGGGTTAATATGTTATATGGAGTAATCACTTTGTAACATAAATACATAAAATATAAAATTATTGTGAATATATTTGCATATTGGAAATAAGTGCTACACTTAGAACTTTATGTTCTGCACTATATTATTTTATTTTATTTTGTTTTGTTTTATTTTATTTTTGGGAAGGCACCATACGGCAGTCAGGAGTAATTACCCCCAACATGAAATGATCATGCCACAATCTCTTCTCCATTTCTCCCTTCTTTTAGGATTTTGGACATTCATGCATATGTTCCTGGTATACTTCTCAAGCCACCAGGTCTGAAATTCAAAATGTGTAGTTGGCCATGTAGGCTTCAGCTGCTTTGACCACCAGATTGAGTGTGGCCTTGTGCTATTATTTTATATAGATTATCTCATTTAATTCTCTCACACAGTACGTGGAAGGCAGACAAAGTGTTAATTATCAACTCACCTGGGTAGGGACCCCAGCATGCTATTCCTTGCCAAGCAAACTGAAATCTTAGGATTTAAGTAATAACCTAGAAATAATTTGTTTTTAAAGTAACTGTCAGAATGATAATGTGTAAACTTTTAACAAAATTCTATTTTATTTTTAGTGAACAGGAAATTATTTTCTACAGAAAATATTTAAAATTGGCATCTTCTACTCATGCTTGTAAAATAAAGGTAAGTTATCACTAAATTTTATTTAATTTGACAGTTACAAATATTTTTATATAACGTATAATTATTTACTGTTGGTTTGTTAACATAGTTGGTTCAACACAGTCCCAACTTATCTTTATATAAAAAAGTAACTTTTTTTAGAGAAGTACATTTTGTTTGGGCTCTATTTTAGAATGGTAAATAGAATAGAATTAGAAAAGTTACAGAGAAGAGCACCTAAAAGTTAAAGGGATTTGGAATCTTAAATATAAAAAAAATCACTGAGGTGAATGTTAA